GGCACACTCATTAGTCAACAGAGCCAAATACCAACAGTACAACAATTGAATTTCTTTTGAGAGCCAAATTTTTTTAAACTTAAACTATATAGGTAGGTACATTGTTATTAACTTAATTAGGGTACTCCTAAGCTGGCCTTTGCTAAAAACGTCCTCAATCTGACTGAGGTACGTTCCCTGAGGTCGACCCCTTCCAACTCTCCCATCCACACTCGTTTTGTATATACTTGTTTCGTCTATCTTTTGTCACCCACGCGTGATTTGCGGACACGACTAGCACTAACCACTGCACAGTGAGACTGCTGACTGACTGGCTCACTCAATTCGTGCATGAATCGCGCGCACCTCCCCTGGGCTGCGTATCCCGCGGGCTGCCTGCGCTGCGTCCGACTGACACCCCCACTTCTTCTAACACCACTTCTTCAAAATAGACTCGCCCAGGCCAAAAACCAACTTCTGCGCATGGGCCACAAAGTTTCAATCGCACTGTACGTGTGTGCCGCACGTGGTACCACGGCCATAAAAGAATGGGTGTCTGGTGCCTGAGTTCCACCTGCCACCCAGGAAGTGTCCAGGAGAAGCTGCCCAAGGCCCATGAGGCAAACCCTGAGGGCTTTCACTGCAGTCACTCAGTGCGGGGAGGGGTGCCAAGAGGTGCTCCTCAGGGGACAAGCTCACAGGTGGGTGGTTAGCTGTGTGACAGGTTGCTGGGCTGATCATATGCAGGACCAGGCCGTCATGCCAGGGGGGTGGGCAGCAGAGGGTCAGGGCTGTCCAGGGGATGGCTGTGTAGGAAGGTCAGAGTCAGATGCCCCTGACCTGTCAGAGAGGTCCATCACCTGCCCCGACTCAGTCAATCTCTTCATCTCCTTGACAAGATGAGGAGATACTTTCCAGTAAAGTTTTTCCATGTTTCACTGATCTCAAGTAGTAGAAAGTGATGAATAAGAAGTCTGTGGTTTGGCTATGGCGGTTCCATGTAAGATAAAGATTCTTCCGAATGCCGCCCCTCACCACCGTGGTTGACACGTCGCTGCTGCGCATAAAAGGCAGGAGGCTGCCTCCAACACTTCAGAACAGCAGGACGGACCAGGACAAGACAGAATGCGGCCTGCCAGCCCAAAGATGAGCAGCCTCCCCGCCCTGCCCCTTTTCCTGCTCCTGCTCGCACTCCACGCCCCTCGGGCACAGGGGCGGCCCTTAACGACTTGCCTCAAACTGGTCAAGGAAATCGAGGCCATCCTGAACAAGACGCCTGTGCCTTCACAAGTGAGTAGCCGGGACAGGCTGGCGTGGGGCAGGGAAGGGCTGGCAGTGCTCAGGCCAACAGGACTCATGGGCTCGCTTTCTCTCTACCCCACAGGAACCCTTGAGCATAAATGAGGCATTCATCCTGACGGTAAGAGCTCAGCCCCACACTTGGGTGCACCCCCTGCCTGGGTGACCTCAGTTTTTCATCTGTAAATAGGGTTAGCAGCACCTAGCTCGGTGGGGTGGTTGTGAGTTAAATGGCCCACTGTGCGTAAAGTGCCCAGATCAGGTGTCCAGGACATTCCCGCAGCCATGGCTATAATATGAACATGTTTTGTTTTCATTACAAAACGAAAAGGCAGCTGTAGGTGAATAATACCATAGGCCGTAAGCTCAGCTTTCAGTGGGCAGCCTCTGGACTGGCAGACTGAAATCCCCGCCCCCCCCCCCCCCCCGGCCCGGCCCCCCGCCCGAACATGCCTGCTTCTTTCCTTTCCTTTAAAAAACTGAATTCTGTTTTCCACGCTGACCAGCCCTGGGTATTATCATTCACAATTATTTCTCCTAAATGGGAACTATGTCATCTTGTGTGCACAGGGGATGGGGGTGGGGGCTGTCAAACCTCTGCTGAGTTTATCGGCTGCCTGCAGCTCCCCTCTAGGCACTCACAGTTCACATGCTGCGCCCATTTCCATGGGGGGGGGGGGGGGGGGCAGGGGCTGGATTTTCTTCCTGATTCCTGGGCACCCTTAGTGCAGTCAGGCATTTACCCTGTTAGCTGCAAGGATGTCCCTTGGCCAACGCTTTGCCTTCTTTAGCATTCCTTCTGAAAAATGTTTTCTCACCAAGTGCAGAAGCATCCACTCAGGCCCTCTATGCAGCTCGCATGGAGACAGGGGCTCTGGTGGGAGGGAAGTGGGCCTTGCCTGTTCCGTGCTCACACATCTAGGCTTGTGTCCTTTGGGGCATAACCTGGGCGAGAGTGGGATGAGGAGGGCACTGTCCAAGGGTGTCCCTGAAGAAGTCTTGGAAAATTGTGGGGAGGACTTCAGCCTGGTCATGGGAAGGACACTCCCCAAGGTCCCCCTCTTACATGTATTCTTTGTCTCCTTAGAATAATAGCTTTCTGAAGAGAAATCTGGATATATTCCTGAATGCTACCAATAATTTTACAGATGGAGACAAAATCAGGACAAATCTTGAGGTGTGTGAAACTGTCGAGGGCTTTGGGCTCCCCTCCTCAGCCCTATCCTTCCTCTGGGGAACCTCTTCAGGGCCTGCTCCTTTCCCAGGCGAGGCTCTGACGGTCTGCTTTGGTCTCTTCCCATAGGTATTCAAGACAGTCCTGCCCACCTCCACGTCCAAGGTAAGCTGCCCCCTAAGACACCCCTGCCAGTGGTGCCATCAGCCACGACCGGACCCTCAGCCTGTCATCTGCCTTGCAACCCAGTCTCATCTAATACCACCTTTCCGGTTTCTTCACAGGAAAAGCCGTTCAGTATCAAGAACTGGGGAGATTTCAGGAGGAAACTGAGTGAATATCTGGGCACCCTTAAAAAGTGGGTGTGTTAGTCAGACATCCAGATCCCTCTGAGCCTTCTCTCTACAGGAAGCAGCAAAACCTCTGAAGACTCTGAGACGTCTCTCACACAGTGCAGGACCAGAGGATTTTATTTTCTTCAGCAAAGTCCGAAGAATTGTTATTTATCTAATGTCTGAAGTGTGCAGCCCCATGTGGCCTGTTGCAATTATGTTCTCATTTTTATCCTATTGAGGCTATTTATTACGCATTTATTTATTTATTTATTTATATATTTTTATTAATAAATCTTTATTGTTCAGATTATTACATATGTTCCTTTTTTCTCCCATATCTCCCCTCCACCTGGTTCCCACCCCACCCCATGCCCCCACCCCCTGCCACTGTCCTCATCCATAGGTGTAAGATTTACGCATTTATTTATTACCGTGCAATGTGACGTGTATTTATTTTAGCAGAGGAGCCAGGCCCTGCTCCTTCTGAACAAGATCAGTAGGGGAGTTGGGGACATGCTCATTTGTACCTCAGGTTTTGAGCCAGTTTCTATACATCTGTGAAAATAAACCACACTGTGAACAACTGCTTTGTTGCCCGTGTCTCAGTTTGACTCAGGTCTTCGGTACTCTCTTGCCTGATAATTTAGCCACCTTCCCCACCCTCCCCCTGCCTCGCCCCGCCCTGCCCCTCAGGCCTCATTGCCACCAGATGGGGCCCAGAACCCATACCCTGCCAATCTGTGTTTTCTTGGGGAACCAGATTTAGAAAATGCAAATCTAACCAGGTTGGCCTCATTCCTAATTTTCCAGTCCTCAGGGTCTGGACCTTGTCCTTCTTAGGAAAGCATCAGAGGCCTGCTGCCACGTGTGCTTCTCTTCCCTACTCCCACAGCTACCGATCCCCTCCAGGCTCCAGCCAACAGACGCACTGCGGCTTCCTAAATGAACCACACACCAGTTTCCTACCTCTAAACTTTTCCCCATGCTGTCACCTCTGCCTCGCATGCCCTCTGTCCTGACTCGCACGGTGAAGTTTCTACTTGAGAGACCAACTCAAACGCTGCCTACCTCTGGGTTGTCCACTACCCAGGCTGGACGACACTGCATTTCTCTCCTGACTTGCAGTTCATACAAAAATCAAACATTGGCTGCGCGCCTGTGTCAGGCCCTGTACAGACGCCGGGGACATGGAAGGGGTCCAGGGAGGCTGCTTTCGACTGAGTGTCTGGCAAGGTGACATATAGGTTGAAAACTGAATGACAAGAAAGTGCCAGCCACGTGGCAACTAGGGAGGACAGAGGGAACAACAGCCAACGCAGAGATCTGGAGACTGAAAGAGGCTGAGAGCACTCACGGAACAAAGGGAGACCCGTGGTGGGGAATTCTGGGAGAAGCCTACCACTTTCCCTCTGTCTCTCTGCCTCCTGCATCCCTCAGGCCCAAGCCCTGTGTCAGTGACGGATGACTGCAGGAGGTGGTTAGGGGTCAGGTCAGACCCAGACCTGGTGTGGGAAGATCAGAGGTGTGGGAGAGAGATCAGCACCCAGCAGGACCCACCGCAGGAGTCGGTGATGGAGGAGGGGACATGCTTGAGAGGCGGATGGGCCTTTTCAGACGTTCTGGGGCTCTCATTGCCCTTCTTATGGAGTAGTCCAGTCCACTCCACGTTGGACTGGGATGAACATGGGCTTGGCCCATGAGGGCTCACCCCAAACCTCAGACTCTGCCTGCGGCCAGCACAACCCGGCCCAAGCACAGCTCTGGGCTGCCGCCCAAGTGGTGTTCAGGCATCAGTCTGGGAGGGCTGATGGCTCCCTCCCCCTGCAGGTCTGTCAGTTTCACATCTTTCCACCAAGCCTACCCAGACTGTCCTTAGCTCTAGCTTTATAAACCCAGTCCCCACAGTTGCCACAAGGGGACAGCAAAGCCTCATGGGCCAGAGGAGGGCAGGCTGAAGGCCAAAGTTCCCTCCTCCCCACTTTAGCAGAAAAGTAGATTGCCTCAACCAGGAATTTTATTTTTTATTTTAGCTGTGAAAATATTAGTTTTTCACTGGGCGGGAAATATGAGAGAGCATATATCCTCTTTAATTGAAAAAACACACAGACAAACAGAGCAAAGAAAAACTGCCAGGAAGGCAAGTGCCTAAGGAGAGGACTGAGAGGCATGGCCAGCCTCGTACCACCATGTGAAGCCTCCTGCTCCTGGAAGGGGCTCTGCCCTCCCACCCTGGCCTCGAATCCACATTTGACTCAGTTCAGCAAACACCCCAAGGACCCTCCATGGCCTACCCACTTGTCCAGTTGGCCGAGCGCAATGTGGTGGAGGTTATTATAAAGGTGGTGGCTGGAGGGCTGTGGATCTCGTCGGAGGTGCTCCCACAGGAGGTGGTGCACAAAGGAGAAAGGAGTAGGAGTCTGTCAGGCAGAGAGAGGCACAGAGACGGGTGTTAGGCAGATGGCGCTGGGGGCAAGGATGTGGAGGTCTAAGAGTTCAGGGCAAGCAGAGGCATAGGAGAGGCTAGGCAGTTTATAGGGCCAGGGTGTGGGTGCCAGGAGAGGCAGGTCCCCAGAGCACCCCAAGTCACTGCCTTTGCCCCTAGAGGCCCACCACCCTGGGCCACAGGCAGCTTTGGATTTAGCTAGGTTCCCTCCCCAATTTCTCCCTCCCTGATCCCACCTGGCCACTGTGGAGACCAGGAGGTAGGATAGGGCCATATCAGGGATAGGATGGCTATGTTTAACACCAACAGGAAGGAGCCAGGGCAGAGGGAGAAAGATGCCGGAGGAAAGAGGGCCCAGCCGAGCAAAAAGGGATTCCTGGGCCCATAATGGGAGCGTGGAAGAAGCAGAAATAATGTGGCACAGAGTGGAGGGTTGAGTGAATTGTCATAGGGAGCCGCGGCCTCAATTTCCTCTTGGAAATTTTAGGTCAGGCTAATGGAGGTGAAGATGTATCAGGCAAAACTGCTGTTGCTCTGCTGGGCTGAGGAGAGACTCATAGAGAACCCACTCAATGACCCGATGAAATCTATTATTACCCCCATTTTACATACAGAGAAACTGAGGCACAAAGAAATTAAGGAAGTCTAACTCCAGGGCCTCTGAATCCTTAAGCCACAATGCTTTGGCCAATAACCACTGAGGCTGAGGAGCCTTTTAGGTCTGGCCCAGGGCCCACCTGGCATCTCCCCTTGATTGGATCCAGAGGTACCTGCTGGCTCCACAGACTCCTGGTTCCAGCCCTAAGGACAGCAGCCCAGCCTCGGTGCCTCAGCTCCATCCTCCATTTACCAAACCACCATACATTCATCATCAAATTCCTCTACATGCCATTTGTCCCTCCCCCCGCCCAGCCCAGCACAGTCCCCCTTACACCCACACTGGGGCTTAGGTCCACAGCTGTTCCCGGTGCTCCTGTCCATGTGTGCCCCATCCCCACATCTCCTGGGGCTTATGAGAGGGACCACGGTCTCACAGCCATCACCTGCCTTGCCTGCAGTCAAGGCCTCCTCCCTCCCACCCACCTTCTCAAAGACCCCAGGCTCAGCTTCTACCTCCAGCCTTGGCTGATGCTGACACCTCCCTTCTCTCCTGGGAGCATTCCCTGTTCCCAGGGTCCAAGTTTGGAATCCTAGTCGGAGGCCTCTCACCTCTGCAGAGAGGCATCCTCCACCCTGGCTGCCCCTGGGGCTTCTTTCAGCAGACACTGGGGACTGTCTTGCTCTGCTCTGTCCTGTCCAGAGCCCGCCCAGGTGCAGACAGGAACAGCAGACTGTGACACTGAAGATATGCACTCTGAGGGGGGTTGTGTCAGAGAGGTGTGGGGAGGGAGGCCCCCTGGAGGAGAGGGAAGGCATGGCCAGGGCAGGTTTGAGGGACAGTCACAGCACAGAGTTGTAGGAGCATCTGGGAGTGGGGAATGGGCCATGGACTCAGAGCGCTGGGAGTGAGGGCCCACACAGGTGATGGTGGTGGGTGTTCTTCCCACCTTCTTCAACAGACTGTTCTGATCCCTGTGGGCCAGGCCGGGCCCTCTTGAGCATGGGTAATAAACAATGGACAGCCACTGCTGCCCCTCAGAGGGGCTGTGAACGCCCCTGCGTCTCCCTGCTCTCCTCAGGCTGAGGGCTGGACTCAATGGTTACTTGCTCCTTCCAGCCAGGACGGGAGTCCCCTGTCCTGGTATCCTCAGTTGGCTCTTTCCAGGAAAATCCACGTGACTGAGTCATTTCTTAGTCAGCCGACCTTAGCTCATCCAGGCTACCCTCAGGGTTTGCCTCCTGCGGCTGGGTGTGGGAGGTGCTGGGGCACTGGGGAGGGGTGTGCACAGGGAGCCCCCATCAGGGAAGCCTAAATCCACCATCATCTCCAGGGCACAGGAAAGCTCTGGAGACTGGTCCAGGCCCCAGCAATCACGCCCCTCTCCTATTGACAGGGAGACTGAGGCTGGGCGGTAGGGGTGGGTACAACACCCCATCAGTCAAAACATGTGGCCAGTGCTCCCCAGCAACCCATAAAGCCACCTCTTTGTGGAGGTGAGTCAACTGGGGCTCAGAGGTGGGAGTCACATGCAGTGAGGAGTGGCCAGGCTTGAAGGCAGGCCTATCACCCCCAAACCTGCGTTCATCACAAAGAGAGCTGCTGTGTCCCCAGGAAGCTACATAGGGGACTGGGCACACCCCTACTGGGACATGGCTGGGAGAGTGGGATGAGTTTGTGTTAGGGGGAGAGAGTTATGAGTGGTTGCCCTGGGCTGGAAGGAGAGATCCCCAAGGACCTCTCCAGCCATGCAGAGACACTTTGTGGACCACATTTCCTCACAAACCCCTAATTCGTTGTCACCTTTATCCCTCCTGCTGGGCCCTCAGCCTGAGTGACAGTCACCCCAGGAGGGGCTGGGGGCCTCCGGAGGAGATGCTGGAAGAAGGCAGTGGCTCTGCCTGGAGGCAGAGGTTCATAACAGGGAGCAGAGGTGGCCTCCAGGCCCAAGGCCAGGGCCCTCTGGGGCCTGGCGAACCAGAAGGAAGAGATGTGCCCACCAAACAGAGCCCCAGGGAGAGTTCGAGGGAGCCTGGCACTTCAGAAAGTCCTGAAGGAAGCTCGTTCCAGAACCACCCATCCTGCCTAGAGTGGAAAACCCACATCTGCAACCTTAATTCTGGCCCATCAGCTCCAGAGGAAGGCAACTTGGCCTGGACTCCAGTCCGACAGAGGGCAAGGAGAGCACCCTCACGACTCTGGGTTGTAAAGCCTTCTGGTCTAATGATTTCTCCCTCTTTTAATTTCTTTTAAAATGTTTTTATTGATTTCAGGGAGAAGAAGGGAGAGGGAGAGAGGGTTAGAAACATCAATGATGAGAGAAAATCACTGGTCAGCTGCCTCCTGCACACCTCTTATCAGGGATAGAGCCTGCAGCCCAGGCATGTGCCCGGACGAGGAATTGAAACATGACCTCTGGCCCATGTCCCACATCTGACTGTCTTCCTGGAGGTCCTGTGGCCTCCCAAACTCACCGCATCCAGCCCAGTCTGGACTGACTTCCCTAACCCCGTGCCACCTTGGGCCTCCCCATCGCAGCAAACGGCCTCACTGTCAGATTCCTTCCTCATCTCCTGCCTCCAGCCCACACAACCAGTGAGTTCCCTCGTGGCCTCCTATCTCGGGTCTCTCATTTCATGACCACTCCCCCTGACTGTGCATTCTAGGTATACATCCTGGTTGGTGCCCTTAACACTGTGTATATGAGTTATGGCCCTGTCCTCCCTGTCCCCTCCTTAAAGTGACCACCAGATGTGAGCTCTGAACGCAGGGTGTGGTGAGGAGGGGCACGTGGTGGGCTTCCTGGGGGCTTGGTTGTAGGGACGCAGAGTCCACACATGGTTGGGAGTTAATCACCCTCAGATCCTTCCAGACCAGCCAGGACTCACCAGCCCCAGGCAGGGTCTGGGGATACTCAGTGAGCAGGACCAGAACTGGGGTTTGATCTTACAGCCTGGCCTCTTGGAGGTGCCCCTCTGGGGACCTAGACAGAGGAGATGCGGGAGGGGTCTGCCTGGAGCTGCTAGCACGAAGGCCAGAGATGTTGCTTCAAGTGTCTGGGGTAGCCTGGAATGACCTGAACTCCCCCCCAGAGAAGGATGAGCCACTCATGGTACTGTCCCTGCACTGGGATCTCATAGGGTGAGGCAGGAACCCATGAGACCCAAATGTGGCTGGAGGCTGAGCTCTCCACTTCACCACATCTTTCCAGGAAGATGCTATCTGGGCCTGGGGCTGGGCAAGGGGCAGCTGACCCTGAAAATGTTTGGGCTTCAGACACCTCTCAACTTGGGTGGGAGAGGAGAGGAAAGGCTGAAGCACTGCCTGCTCCCTGGGAGGATTCCCCACAAAGTTTCGAGACAGGCAATAGTTTCCTCTGAGGCGGCGATAATTAAGCCCATTGTACAGATGAGGAAGCAGAGGCTCAGGGAGGAGGGACTTTCTTGAGCTACTCAGGGATCAGTGGTGGAGAGCCCAAGCCTGAGACAGAGAGAAGCCTGGGTGGCAGGCTCTGCTGTGGAAATTCTGCCTTTGGGCTTCCCTGGGACAGTCACAGGCCACTCTAGTTTCTCTGCCAACACCTGCAGCAGTCTCCCTTTACAGCTGTCCTGAGGGGGAGGTCCCTCTGCTGGTCTAGCCAGGTGACCAGCATTTCCTGGTTTTCTGATCCCTGAGAGAGCAGAAGACATTGGGGAAGCAGGGATGGATATAGGCTCAAATACTGTCTGCACCATTGACCGTGTGGACTGGGAGGGCCACCAGTACCAAGGCCCCACCAAAGGGTGGCAGGCCCAGGGAGAGTGAGGTCAGCTGAGATGCCTGCGCAGAGGTCCCACGGGACACAAGGCACTCGGAGGTCTGTTTCCTTCCCCTTACGATAGCTTCCTTTGTGATAAGGATCCTGTGGTAGCTACAAGCCTGTTTCCTCTAGAACCTGTAGGAGGGAAATTCATAAAAAAATCCTTCCAGAGGGTTTTCTCCTGGCCCTGGTGTAAGGGGGCCAAAGAGGAGTCACACTGCCTACCCATCATGGTCCTGCCCCCGCCCTCCCACAGTCCCACTGGGGCCCCTGAGTCAGCGCACCCGCTAGATGGTATCACTGCCACTTTCCATGCGGTGCAATCTAGGAATGCCTGCCCATGTAATGGCCTCAGCCCTGATGTCATCTTTCCAGAAGAAAGATATGTGGCTGCCCACGAACCTCAGCGCCAAACCCATAGCCGGCCTCTATCCTTTGCGCGCTGACTTTGGCGCCCGTAGGGCACACTGTGGGCGTGGACCTCTGCAATGGCTCCTGTGCTCCCTCCTGTCCTGCCTGCCCAGGGCCTTGACCACTGGCAGCCCTCTGACCAGCTATCAGGCCCCTGCTTCTTTTCCGGCCTTCAGTCAGCCCTTCTTCCTGAATGGCCTTCTGTGGCCTTAGTGACCGCTTGGACACGGACCCAGGTCTGGCCCTGCACATGCAGCCTACTAAACCTTTTCATGGGCCCATAGACCCTGCAGACCCGCTCCTTTATCCCCTGGGTCCCCAACTTAGGCACTTAGACAGTGGTTCTAACTCTTTTTATATAACTTTTTTTTTTCTTTTTTTTTTTTCAGAGAGGAAGGGAGAGGGAGAGAGCGATAGAAACATCAGTGATGAGAGTGAATCATTGACCGCCTGCCTCCTGCACACCCCCACACACTGGGGATAGAGCCTGCAACATGGGCACGTGCCCTGACTGTGAATTGAACCGTGAGCTCCTGGTTCATAGGTGGATGCTCAACCACTGAGCCATGCTGGCCGGGCCTAACTCTCCTTACTTATATCCAGAAGCACCTTTGGGGAGGGGGGTAAGTAGATTAATCTTGCTCCTTCATCGACAGGGCTACAAAGTCCATAAAGGCAGGACCCTGTCGGCTTTCCACCATTTTGTATCCCCTCCCTTGCTGGGAACCTAGTAGGTGTTCAGTAAATACTGAATGAATGAGTCCATTACACCACCATGTCCCATCACAATTCTACCTTCTAAATCTCTCTGGAGCCTGCTTCATCTTAACCACACCTGTGCCTAAAACCTGCTGCTTCTCTGTGCCCTAAGGACTTTCCCCCTATCCTCCCCCCGTCCCACAACCTGACTTGCCCACCTACTCTGCTTGCCCTTTCAGGATGCGGTGGGAGGCAGCATCTCCTGGGAAGCTCTCTGGCCCTTGGACCCCCAAGTTGGGAGACCTGGTTTCCTGGGGATTCCTCAGCTCTGAACTCCCCGCCCCCAAGCCTGCACTACACAATGGGAGTGTCCACTGCTGTCTGTCTCCCTCACCAGATTGAGAGGTCCTCAGGGCCAGATGTGAGGACCAGTGGGAAAGTCCCATCCACCTCCCAGCAGAACAGGGCCTGGTGCTGATTGGACAAATCTGTTGACTAACTATCAACTCATTTCCTGGAGAAAAGTGACCTTCCATCTCAGGGGGATTACACCAGCTCTCTGCCTCCCTGGTCATCAGCTTAGTCGCGAATTGTGGACCCCACTCCCCACCAACGAGTCTCCGGGGCTCTGTCTGACACAGACCTCCACTCTGTGGCGTCTAGTGTCCTTGATTCCCCTTGTGCCCCCTGAGAGCTCCTTGGAAAGGGCTGAGCAGAGGCCTCAGAGGAAGAAGGGCCAGGGCCTAGACATGCTACACTCTCCCTCCACCGCCCCCCACCTCCCGCCAGCCTGGCCCTCTAGGATGTTCAGAAAGGCAGGGCTGGCCTTATGGTGGCCCCAGATCCTGGCAGGAACCCAATGGGGTCCGGAGGACGAAGGCCTGGCTTTCCCGTGCAAGGGTAGCAACCCTCCTGTCTCGTAGTTACTTTCCAGAGCCACAATACTCAGACCATGAGTTCTACCTGCTGTCAAGGGCTGCCCACTGAGTCCTGCATGTTGCTCTGGCTTGTGTCTGACCCCATCAGTCTAGGCCAAATCAGCCCCTGGGGCCCAGAAACATCACGCCCAGTGTGGGGAGCTTCTCCCATATCAGAGTGGCATGGCATGGGGGCTCACACAGATGACCGCCTATAAAATATACACCCCCCCATGCACCTGTATTTACAGACACATCCAACCACATGGGCACACAGACACCCAGAAATGTATACATGTGGACCCACACCCCCACGGCCATGAAACTCAGTGTGGGCAGCAAACACAAATGCATGCTGTCTTGGGTGGTGGTGGGGAGGTGAATGAAAAAGGTGAAGGGAAATAAGAGGTACAAACTTTCAGTTATAAAGTAAGTCACAGGGTGTAATGTACAGCATAGGAAATACAGTCAATATCGCAATCATTTTGTGTGTTGCCAAATGGGTACTAGATTTAGTGTTACGATCCCATCATAAGGCATGTAAATGTCAAGTCATTTTTGTACATCTGAAACTCATACAATATTATATGTCCACTATACTTTAATTGGAAAAAAACCCACAAAACTAACCTCGTGCTATCCTCTCCAAACTCCATTGTGAAAAGCAAACACTTGTCAGCCCCTCAAGAGCCTGTGGCTTTTCCAGAAACAGTTCCTGTTCCACGGAGAGGCCCCTGGAGCTGGAGGCCATTTAGGAAATTAAGCCTGGGAGACCTTGTTAGAGAGAACGTTGTTCCCTGTACCTGGTGTGGACTCGACCGCGACCCCACCGCCAGCCCCAGAAGCTCCTGGTGCCTGCGGGGACTAGGTAGGAGGGCCCTGCCCACCTCAGAGGGAGGTGAGGCTATTGGCACTGAGGGAAGAGTCACTCAACCAGGTGTGCTGGAGCCAGGATTCGTGCTCAGGGTCCCACTCCAGCTGAGAGCCCCAGCTCACCTCTGCAGCTTCGGGGTTCACCGTGGGCTGCATCAGCCAGGACTGGCTGTCAGACGGGATCTCACTGTGAAGGAACACTCCGCAGTCCCGCTGGGTTTGCCTCACCTCTGACAAGAACAGAGCAGCTGCATGGTTGTCGTTTCCTCTGCTCACAGGGTCTGTAGGGAAGAGGACCCTGGCTGAGCAGAGCTTATCAACTGCTCTGGGTCCTCGGCTGGAACTGAGGTGAGCAATTTGACTGGAATCTGCCTGGTGGAGAGTGGGGCAGTGAGAGTCCTCCTCACACTCAAATCTCTCACTGTGATCAGAGCAGAGGGCTCCGGGGGGTGAAGGGGAGGCTGGGATTGGAATGGACACCAGGGTGGGCACAGCCAGCCCAAATGCCTCTTGGGATAACAGGCAGGATGGGGAGCTTGGGCGTAGTAGCTAGATCCAGTGTCTCCCAGACTCCTCCGGCCACTCCAGGCCAGGAAGTCCAAGCTGTGCTGGAAGGCCCCTCAGATGGAGGGGGTAGGCTCAGCGGGCTGCCAGACCGCCTAGGGAGGTCTAGAGCAGGGGTCCTCAAACTTTTTAAACAGGGGGCCAGTTCACTGTCCCTCAGACCGTTGGATGGCCGGACTATAGTTTAAAAAAACTATGAACAAATTCCTATGCACACTGCACATATCTTATTTTGAAGTAAAAAAACAAAACGGGAACAAATACAATATTTGTATTTGCATGTGGCCCGTGGGCCGTAGTTTGAGGACCCCTGGTCTAGAGCGTGCTCAAGGAGGCTGGTGGGTGGGCTGCAAATTCTTGGAATGGCTCATTAATGAAAACCCCTGATGGTGACCACCTGGGGGAAGGCTCACCTTTCCCACGTGAAGCTGATAAGAGCCAGGAGATTCCACAGTTCAGGTAGTTCCCCCACCTCCCTGGAGTTTTGTGGTCACCATTAATCATTTCCTCTAACTGCATATAAAAGCTCTTTTGCCAGTGAGCCCAGTATTCAGAGAGAAAGGCTAAAGTCCTCAGGAGGATGTGGCTGCAGAACCTGCTGTTCCTGGGCACTGTGGTTTGCAGTATCTCCGCACCCACCCACCCACCCAGCCCCGTCACCCGGCCCTTGCTACATGTGGAAGCCATTAAAGAAGCCCTGAGTCTTCTGAAACGGAGCAATGAGCCTGCTGCTGTGATGGTGAGTGAGGGAACGAGGGTTGTGCCTGGGCCAAACCCCTGCCCTGGACGAGCCCTTCCTGTCAGCTTCATAACACTGCATTTTACTTTTCTATAGGATGAAACAGTAGAAGTCATCTCTGAAGTGTTTAACCCCCGGGTAAGATTCTCTTCTCTGACTCACCTTCCCAGAGACCTTTGCCTTTGGGGGAGAGGGTGGCTCCATGTTAAATGGATTCTCACAAGGTGGTCCACTTCCCCTCCAGTCAGCTGGCTGCCAGAAGAAGGTGTGCTCAGAGGCACTGGCCTTGCCTCTGTGGCAGTCACAAGAGCTGCCTTATTATCTGAGCAGCCATGGACAAACCTAGCATTCAAGGGGCCAGGGGTCACCAGGGACAGGTGGGTAAGCAGGGACTGTGGGCTTAATGCTGGCTACAGAGGGGCACAGAGGGGTCCAGGCGATGCCCTGCCCCCTTTTCCCTGAAAAGTGGGGTAGTGACGTCCTTTCCTAAGGGCTGGAGCCCTCTTGAGATGCCAGGCCAAGGGAATATGCTGTGTGGGCTGAGGGTGGCCTGAGCTGAGTTGTGAGGTGGAGGCAGATTGGTGCCTGAAGTGGACAGAGGGCAGGGCAGCATATATGACTGGACCTGCCTGAGACTAGCTCGGACCTCCCAGGCTCTACTCTTAGGGGACAGGGATGAGAACACGGAGTGACGGGGAGGGCACTTGGCCACTGCTTACCGAGTCCTGGACATTTTCCATAGGAGCCGACATGCCTGCAGACCCGCCTGGAGGTGTTTATGAAGGGCCTTCGGGGCAGCCTCACCAGGCTCGAGGGTTCCTTGACCTTGATAGCCAGCCACTACAGGCAGCACTGTCCCCCTACCCTGGTAAGTGCCTGTGTCAGGGCCCCAAACGGGAAGGTCTTGGTCTAGGAGGATGGAGGACTGCGGAGGGGAGACCTTTGGGTGTGGCTGTTCGGGACACCAAAGGGAATCTGTGTTAACAGATTTGTAATTAGAGCAGCCCAGCCCTTGTTTCAGGCTCAAGGAGTTCAAGTCTGGAGCTCCAGAGTCCACAGCGCCCCCTAGTGGCAGCTGCTCTGCTCTTGTCCCGGTGAGGCAATCCCAAGGAAACTCAGTGTCAGGCACGGGTGGAAAAGATACAGAGTAAATTCCAGAGCCCAGGTGCCACCTCCCGACAGGACCTTCCCCTGGGCCCTGATGGGGTTCCTGGACTGCATGGGAGCAAGGATGGAAGCATATCAGGATGTACAAAGTCCAACCATTTCTTTCTTGTGGGAACAGAGCTGTGTATTCCTGCCCTTTCTGGGTGTTTGGAGCCAGCCTCAGCCAAGCTGCTCTGTCCTGGCCTGGGACCAAAAAGCCAGTGGCCCAACTGTCCAGCAGACCAGCCTCCAGCACTTTGTCAGGTCCCTGGTCCCAACTTCGGGTGACACACGTCACCTGATCCAGTAAGCAGGCAGGCCCCAGACGGGCCTTCTGACCTCTGAGTCCTAAGAGACACATAAATACGCTGGTGCTCCCCCCGCCCCCCACATTACCCACTCACGCCTAGACTCAAGTTTTCTTTTTCTCTTTAAGGAAACTTCCTGTGCAATCCACAATACCACTTTCGAAATTTTCAAAGAGAACCTGAATGATTTTCTACTTATCACCCCCCTTGACTGCTGGAAGCCAGTCCAGAAGTGAGGCAGGCCAGTCCAAGAGCCAGCCCTGAGACTTACCTCGCAGATCGCTGTCCTCCTACCCACAAAGAGCTGAAACTCAGGATCTTCACTTTGGAGGGACCACAGGATAAGCCAGGCCATGGGGCCACAGACTTGCGCTGAGTCATGCTGACCCATATCTGGGTGGAGGATTTTTACACTGGCAGGGACCATTAATATTTATTTATATATTTATGTATTTTAATATTTATTTATTTATTTATGCTCCTACTTCATATTTATTCAAGATATTTTACCATAATAAATTATTAAAATTCTGTTCTCATTTGTGCAGTTTTGCAGTTTGTTTTCACCAGGAGCAAATGCTAGTGGTGCTGCCCTCCCAACAGGGTAGGGGGGAGGTTACTGCCGGGGGGGCAGGGGCTTGGGCCTGCAGCAGGTCAAGCATTGTCTGTGGACAGCACTGTCAGAGCAGAGGGGAGGGGAGAGCGGCTTGGGTGCAGCACTCAGCACACCTGGATGTGCTTCCCAGGATGCACGGGGGCTCCCATCCCAGGGAGAGGTTTCCAGGTTCACTTAAAAATCCAAGGTACTCAGTCAGTGGGAAACTTGCCCCAGAGAAGGGGCATCCTCCTTCCTGGGCAGGCCTGGGGGTTGATCGGCTTGGCTGGGCGATGACTAGACAGGCCCCCTAGCATCAGGCAAACCACCCATGCCCCTCAGAGGCCACACCCTGCCTCACGGTCAGGGCTTCACCACTCCTAAGGGAAACCAGCAGGTAGCCTAGCTGTTCTGGGGAGAAGAAACCAAACCACAGGGATCAGTGCTCAGCATATTTACCAAACTTTCCCCAAAATGGGTGATCTTCATCTTTGAGAGTCAGAATGTTGGTGCATGAAGTTTTGTATCAGGTGCTTTCTCCTAAAATTCATGGCCGTCGGGATGAGAACATAGCAGCTGTCACCTCTCCCCTTGCTTTGCCAGCAGGGCTGGAGACTTGTTCCTATACCTGTACCCCCAACTCCCTACTGTGGACTGTGAGAAAGTGGGTGTGTCCCAGGTGTCAGGTGGGAGACGGGCCAGCCTTCTCCCCGACAGGTGGGCCTGGGGAAGCTGGGTTGGTGCAGCTTTAGCCCCTGCTGGCTCTCTCTCCACCCCATCCACGCTCTGTGCTCTGGTCAGACCTGCAGACAGAGCCAGTCCTGGCCAAAGCCCTGCCCCACACACAGGCAGAAGGGTCATGACTCAAAATGTGAGTATGAATAATATTTCTTGAACCAAACCTGCATTTCAACAAAGACAAGAATCCATGAAGTGTGCTGTGGTCATATAAAATGCACGAAAAGCACATCTTGCCTGGCGATAAGGTCCTCTCTATCTTCTACCTAAGGCGGTTATGACTGATAAGAGATTTAGCATTTCCTTAGACCCACATATATAGGTACCCCTTCCCACAGAAATGTCACCAAGCCCAGGGCTCGGATCGGATCCGAGCTGCTCTTAAGTTACAGCATGTACCTGTTCGTGCTCCTGGCTTGTGTGCTCTGGGGCTTGGAAAGCCATTCCACCCGGATGAAGATAATCAGCGGGACTCTCTATGACAATCACACGGCAGTCTGTGCTGAGATTCAGAAGGACCTTTCGGCTGATAACACTACATACAACGTAAGTCTGGGTCTTCATCAAACATCACTTGGCTTTCGGTGGCCCTTTGTGCTTCTGACCAACTTTTCCTGCTTCCAGGGTTACTTCAAAAGGCCCCAGAACACCAGTGAGGTAAGGAGCAGCTACCACATGGACCTTTCTGACACATTTCAAAGGCCATCACCCCAGTCGGCATCTAGGGAAGAGATAAAAAGAAAAGGTGTTGGAGAGAGAAATCTGGGGAGAAAGCTGAGAGTCTGAGGATGGAGCCTCCAGCCCAGCAAACAGATGAAGCCATGGCCAGGTCCTGGGCTTTGCTGGGCTCTCTGATCACCATCCCAGATCAGCCCTGGGCCTGGGGAGAGACCAGGCACCCACTGCACGGCTCACAGTGCTCAGAGGTCTCCTGTGAAAGGATCAGGGCAGGGCCTGAATTTGAGCCCAGGTCTCCTCTGGCCAGGGTGACAAGGGATAGATGAGGTTGGCGGTCAATTAGTGCTGTGCACCACCATCATCCCAGTGCCCCAACCCTGTTTCAGGAGTCCTGCTATGGGGAGTTTATGAAGGACTTCATCTCCACTCTGAAGAATCTCATAAAAGGTAACAAGAATGAACACCTGCAAAAGGTTTATAAGAACATGAAATATCTTACCCAAATCTGCACAAAGCTTCAAGTAAGTTGCTGTTGGCTCTTGGGGGAACCTGACACATTATTTTCCTTGCTACAGCCAGAGGTCCAGCAGGGCAAAGGGCTTCTCATGGCCCCTGCTTGCTGCATCGGAGGCCTCAGGAACTACTTTCCAATTCAAAAGCCCACTGGCTGATGGGGGCTGGGTTTGTGGGAGGGGGTACTCAGGGGTCGTTCTGGAGGTTTGTCATGCTCTCTGCCAAGCCCCCGTGAACAGGGGTCAGTGTGGAGTAGGTCTGAGACGGGTCTGGTCATGGACTCAGCCTGGGGAGAGGAAAGGGCCACGTGATGCCAATCCCAGTCAGGCAGGGGTTGGGGAGGGGGGGTGTTGTGGGGAAATGACTGAGGTGTTCCCCTCTCTTTATCCAGTGCTTGCACAGGCCCCTGCTCATCCTTGTGTCCCTGCCCTAGGCAGCTGTGACCTGCCCACACCCCGCTGACTCTTTCCCCACGGCTCTGGGCTCCACAATCAGCAAGTGGGCCCCAGTGCCCTTCCTAGGACAGATGCCAAGTTACCTCCTAGCAGATGGGGAGTTTACCATGTGACCCTTTTGTTTTTTCTGCTGCGATGACTTAAATATATATTTCTTTTTTAGCCAACAGGATCACCCAAGAACTGTACTTCTGAGTACAGTGATTTCGCACAGTTCAAGGAAGCCTTAAAGAGTGTTATTCTGTACATAGAAGTATGGAAATCATGTAATAGGACTGAGGGTAGCCTCTGAGACCCTGTCCTCTCACGGGAGCCTGGTATATACGGTTAAAGCTGCAGAAAATGGGGTTGGAGGAGCATCAAGAACAACTGCCGTCTGGGATGGGCGGGGGTACCGGCCCTGGGCTGGCAGAGGAGGCTGAGGGTGGTAATGGAGGGGCTGTGCCTGAAGAAATATTCCTGTAACTGATGCATTAGCGCCTGCTGCTCCAATAAAGCTGGGGCATGGAAACGCTGGTGACAGAGTCCAGTCTCCCCGGGCCTGGATGGACTGGAAGGGGCAGGGGGCTGGGATTGGTGGGCCCTTGGGAGGGCCCAGCCGTCTCCCAAGAGGAGCGGCTCAGGAGGGCGAGTAAGAAACTCACCTCATGGCCCCAGTGCTAGCTGCTCCAGAGCGAGTAGTCACATAGTAGGGACCCCATTAAGGTCTGTGCAGCTTGCTACTGCCCTGACATCCCTCTGTGTCCTTCAGAACTCAAATCTGATCTTTGCCCAGACCCACCTCCGCAGGTCCTTCTTCCTTTGGTCTCTACTACAGCTCCTGGGGAGCTTGAAGTTTAATTCAACCCGCTGCCCTGAGGGCTCAGTGTGGCCACAAAGTGTGAGTCCTGGGGAGTGGTTCCGGGGACCTGGACCAGATGGGGGGCCCACAAGGACCAGGGCATCTCCAAACTCCTAGCTTCTTCCAGACCAGCAAAGAACTACCTGACTTCAAAGTGAAGCCCCTCGCCTGGCCGGCAGGGCCCCGCACACATGCTCCAGGGCCTCCGTGGCACCACTGGAGCCCTCCCTGACTACTAATGCCCTAACTCCCCAGGGCACAAGGCCCTGCCTGTAGTGAATCCACGGGCACTTGGGTCCTGAAGTGCCTCTGTGCTCTGATCCTCCACCCTCAGGTCCTACCCGAACCTAATCACTTGAACAGTTTATTGGAAGGGAGTGGGATTACCCCACAATGCAAACAGCTTCCTACAATTTAAACCTCTCAGACTGTGGGCTTCTTCACCAAACCAGGGAAGACAAAGATGGATTGCGCTGGAACATAATTAGGTATCAAGCTGTAACACAATGCGGCCCAGGCCAGACCTACAGAGTCTGCACTATCTACCATTGACAGACCTTGCAAAGCTGTGACGCTTCAGATTATGCCTGCAGCCAGCACAGAGGCCACCACCGCCCTGCACACCCCCTCGCTGGCCCTAGGAGTCCTGGGCCACTCCACCTCTTGGGGCCACATCAGGCTGGAGGTCAGCAAGTGTGACTGAGTGAAGTTGCGGTATTATCTCAGAACATGGAGGCTGGCCCTGTGACTCAGGTTTGGTGACAGGATTGGTATGGGGCTAGGAGTCAAGGGTGGTTTCAGCCCTGAGAAAGCCCGCAGTCCAGTCCCCAGGGGCTGTGAGCTCCTGTCCCTTGGGCACACCACACAGGTGCTCAGGCTTCTGAAGACCACTCCCCCCTGATAGGCAGCAGGGTCTGGGGTGCATGCTGAGACCCATTGGCAGGAAGACCCGCCACTTCACTGACCAGCCTCCTCTTGGACTGAGGCACTAATGGTAGAGGGCTGGATGGTGGCATGTACATCCTTGTCATCTCACTGCTGTGTTTGGGCAGCAGGGTGTGCACGAGCCTGGCCTGGCACTAGCTTGCTGTGTGACCCTTGACAGGTGCCTCAGTCTCTCAGCCAGAGTCCACAAAGGTGGGGTGGACTCTAGCCCCAGAGGCCAGACCACGGCCAATGTTCAAAGTCTTGGTCAAACTAGAGGTCCCAAGGCATCTGGCTCAACTTTAGGGAAACAAGTTGACAGAGAGACTCTGGTACCTCTCCTGGGAAACAGGAAAGTTGGGAAAGTCCAGGTGGGAAGGTGGCTATACCACAGAGAAACTGCCTTCATCTCCCTGATAACCTTTGCTATGTGCCCTAGTTTACCTTTCACCAGGCTCAGATCTGGACAATGGTAGTGGGGAACCTGCTGGGGGCTGGAATCGGCTGGGAGGGCCATGTGCTCAGTTTCTGAGCTCATAGTTTCCTTGGAGCCTACTGGTATTGCTGCCTTGGGATCTAAGGAGAGGCCAGTACTTTGGAAGCCTGAAACTCTGGGCTGGAAACCTGGGCACAAGAAGCAAGAC